GCGCGCCCATCCCCGCGGCCGCAAAATGAAACCCAAATGCATTTGGGGTGAGAGGGCTGAGAAATACTACCCTGTGCTCAGGAGAAACGGGCTCAGCATGATGGGACAAGTGTCTCGCCTGGCTTTTCTCTGCATTTTCTACCAGAGGACTGGGGAATAGGAGAAAAAGAGCTCTGCATAGAGGGGGAGGAATTTCTTTTAACTAGTCACGTGCTTGAGGACTGCGTAGTATGTAAAAGGGGTTACCTGGGCCTATTTCAAAGCATTTAAAAATATTTTTAGCCCCCAAGGGCAGCTGACAGCAGTCCTTCAAGCACTGGAGGCTGGAATTTGTCTCTGCGTTAGCAGCTGGCCTTGCTTTTTCTCCCCTCTTCACAAAAGGGAGGATTAAAGAGCTTGAAAACATTTGTTTTGAGCTACTTGGAAAGGCCAGCCATCTACAAAGCCCTGCATTTACTAAAGAAGCAAGCAAAGTGAGATGGGACTGCCAGGCACACTGGGGCCAGGCAGGCAAGCCCACGGCACTGAGCGGTGGTCCCCAAACTGCTGGTCATCCCTGTAATGGAAAGACACCCGCCGTGGCACTGACCTGGAGCACAAGGGACCCCATCGCACAGAGGAGGTCCCGGGGTGGCCACAGGGTGACAGGAGCAGGGGTGATGTACCTGTTGCATTGGAGAGTGCGAGGGACTCCATGGAGCCGCGGGGAGTCTGCTCAGTGGGCGTCAGGTCCTCTGTGAACTTGAGGGCGTTGATGGGGTGCCGGGTGCGGCACTGCGGTGTCGGCATCCCTCCTTCCTCTTCCTCTTCGTACTTGGGGACTTTGAGACTTCCTCTGGTCTCAGGGAAGCTCTGGTTGGACATGTCGCTGTAGCTCTCCTGCGAGCGAAGCCTCCCCGAGTAGTAGTCCTCCCTGCAGTCCTGGATGAAGCTGCCGCCGTGGCCCTTCATCGCCAACGAGGAGCTCCTCTTCGGGTTGCTGAAATGTTTCGCCCATAAATCCGGCTGCGAGCCCGGGACCTGGCCAGGGTTATAGGAGGTCCTTATGTTGCACTGGCTGAGAAGCTGCAAAGGGCTTTGGGACTGACTCTGCTCCATTTTGTTCCCATAGTGATAGAGCTCGTCCCTGCTCCTCCACACATGCTCCCTGTTGAGGCTCGGCGTCTGGCTGGCCAAGCTCAGCAAATCCATCTGCAGTGAGAGCGGGTCCACATCGGTGGAGAGGCGGTTGGAGGTGACCTGTAGCTGGTTGCACGGGCTGCGTGCCCCCTCCTCGCCTTTCCCCTTGTTCTTGCCGATCTTGGCGCTGCGGCGGGACTCTTTGGCTCGTGCACTCTGGAAAGCCGAGTCGGAGGAGTCGGAACCATTGGGGTCGTCGCCAACGCTGCAGGCCCTGGAGCAGAAGATCTGCCCCTGCTTGGGCAGGAAGGGCCGTCCCAGCAGGGACTTCTTGCACTGCGCGCAGCAGAAGCAGGTCTCGGTGGCGTGCCAGTGCTGGCCGTCATACGTCATCTGGCCCTGGTCGATACCTCGAGGGGGAAGATGCACAGTGTCAGAGTTAGCCCACGTACATCACTTTGTGCTGCACTTAATACATGCATCCCCTAGCAGCAGCCCACACCCAGGCTCGCTCTCGAAAGCCCTTCAGCAGGGTTTCTCTGACACATGAAGTTAAACTCACTCTTAATTTTTTGCAGGCTGCAGGCCTTTGCTCGGGAGTTACTTCGTGTTGGGAAAGGCAGCAGAACCAAGCCTCGAACTATTTCATATTAAATGGGGCTATTTCCGATCATAAAGCAAAGGAATGCAAGAAGTTCTCCATAAAGTCCTTGAAGTCAAAGCAATAATACCCCGCCTATTAAAAAACCCAAAAAGCCTCCAACCAACCCATAGTGAGGAGTTTGTGCTGCCTTGGTTAAATATGTAACCGAGCAGATCGCACCCCTGCCCCTCGCTGCTACCGCAGCCCCATCCTAACTTTACGCTGGCTGCTGGGGCCCCTTCTCCAAAAGGGAGCAGAAAGAGCCGACCCCAGGGACCTGAGTGCACCCCCCTGCCTTGCACCCAGCCACGTTTCCCGGGCTGCCCCTTGGGTTAAGTAAAGGAATTGAAGCAGAGAGCCTGTCCCCCACCAGCGCAACCCCGGGGCTGCTCGCAGGCGCCGGCCAGAGCCGCTGGAGCACACGCCTGGTGCGTATGCAGCGCTCCCGGCCAGAGCCATGAGCAAAGCTCCCGAGGTTTCAATTACAACAGTTATTTGCCTGTTTAAGCTGCCATTCATGGCAAAAGCCCCCGTTACCTGAGAAGCTGCCACGCGC